AAAGTGTCCCATCGCAGAGTTCTGTCCCATCAGATTCTACTCATTTCACTACCCTGCTGTGAACATTTAGCGCTGCTGACGACAGACGCTCTAGGCTTCGTGGTATCCACCGACATACAACATCGATACAAGGGCCACTTCGTTGGGCATGTTGCACACTGAAGGATAAAATCAGTTGGGTTCAAAGCTGTCCTTTTCCACTGCTTGCTGCTATTTGCTGACAAGGTGGTTCCAAAATGCTTTATTCCAAAATGTTGGTTTCTAAACAGAGACTTTCCATTTAAATCATTGTATTGCGCTTGAATACTGAATCCGGGTGATGGCAACCTTCCACGTTCTCGGGGTTACGTGTGATCCATAGCTAATGCCTATGATAAGACCTTCCTACAAGACTTTTTATATCTCAAAAACCTTCTTAATTGGATTCAGCGGCAGTTGAACGATATGAACTTTCGAGGATAAAGACCATTTTGAATCTGCTTCCTTTCAAATGAAACTCTTTGCCCTGCGCAATTTGGAAACTACTGAACAAAAATACTAAGCATACTCGTCGAGCGATTTCGTCTTCTGATTCGCCGGTGACGAAATATTCCGTGCCCTCTCCTCGTGACATGAACAGCTGTAACGGAAAAGGGTCCATTTTGACGTCAGAACGCGGATAGAACTGGACGGTCTTGCATTCGTAGCCAGCTTTCTCTCGCCAGTATAAATACTTCAAAACATCGTCGACGATTTCGTCTGCAATGCGGTAGGCGATGCCCCAAACTTCGCCCTAAAACCAAGATCAGCTGGTATATCGATGCCACAATAGGGACAAACAGAACATAACGATGGTCACATGGATTCCGGCAGAAATTCTCCTCTGACACGTGGACCATCCGCGAAATGGTGTATAGCGTCGTAAAAAGAACCGTTAAGTGCATGTTGCATGTACAAGAACCAGGAATGAATCAGTTATATTTTGAAAATCTTCATATTACCGTAACTGCAGTGTCTTTAGAGGAAGTTACGAGGGAACGAGAGGCACTGGTTAGAAAGTTAATCAGTTTCCATGGCCGATCATCCTTTTGCTTCGGATGCAGCAGCATCCGAAAATGTCTCTAACGTTTCCGATTCTTTGCCAGCGTTTGAGCTAGGCAGAAGATAAGTCGCGTCTGAAATACAGTTAGTCGAAACAATTACCCCAGGTCATTTTGGTTCTTCCCCTAGGTTTCTGGCAGGTCGGTCCAGCAACAAACAGCTGCTACAAATTACACTCGTAAAATTGAATTTTGAAATAATTTATTGACGTAAATAAATTATGGTTTCTAATTAGTTTACAAGTTGTAAGCAAAAAATTGACAAACAATTTATAATCATTTAAGTAAACCAGATTGACAAGCATGACCAGAACAAAATTCGGAGCAAGATCTGCAAAGAACTCGCATCTCATGGCGGTGGACTGCTTTAGGATAGGTCGAAAGTTGTGTAGTTCCCTTCCGTCACACCCAGTTTCGATGACGAGGCTGGTTAGAACCACGACTTGAACTCGAATATATTACTGAGCAAGTTATAAGAAGCTGCACAAAAGTACGCTGACTTTGACCGTTTGATAAACTAGTGGTATGGCAGTAGTGTCCACGCTCAGTGGGTCGTCTATTCGAATTTGTTTCGCCATAACGGCTGCCATTATACTTCTGTTGGATTTCCATCGAACGACATACTTCTTCATGAGTGCTTCGCTAGGCTTCGTCAGCCTGCTCCGCAAATCTAAGCCATATGTTCCCTCTCTTGTTTTAGAGCTCACGCCCAGTTTGTCTAACGTCAGTGTCGCCAGAGGCATAATTAAGACAACACTCCCCCTCCCCAAACGGGTATCTCGTTGTGGTAGGATTCATTCCTTGCAAAGATCCCCTGCTTCTGCGGAGAACGGGCACACCATTCTAGCGCCGCATTTTTTTATGTACCGTTTCACTCGCACTGCTTTGGTAGGGAAACTTAACATGACGGTTGCTAGCAAAGCTTTTCGACGGGTAGGCAGTTAGGTTACAATTAATTCTGTTAAGCTTCTGGTATATCTATAGAAACTGCTTGAATACGAAAGGTTCCGAGTAGCTGATTTCTCTTAACTCGTTGATTAACTTATCAACTAACTATATAACGTATCATGCTGTACAGCAGTGCGGTTAGAGTATTTCAACATATTTCCTAGGTATAGGATTTGTAACAATTCAGCTTGTACATATAAAGGTGTGTGGGACTGAAATCTATACACTTTCTGATGTAGGTAAACATTTTACTGGACAACGTTCTTAAAATATCTCGATCCCCATATACAAAGACGTTCAGAAACAAACTTTCCGTGTCTTTACATTTCGCTGATGACTTGTATCTTCTCGTGGATGTTGTTGCAATGTTCCGCAAAGTCGTTCAGCTAGTTGGGTCATACTGCTACAGGACTCAAATGTCGCCCGTGTATCTATATCATGTCTTTGGTGGCAGCGCTAAAGTATTGTAAAGTATCCAAGTATCATTTGTTCGAATTTGCTCCATGCATATTCCCGCGATAACCATAGATATTGGTAATCTCACGGTATAAGCTGCCTAGTCATTGTACGTTTTGCCTAGTATCAGAAATTTTGTATAACCTAGATATTTTTGAGTGGATTATAACATATCTTCTTTTCTGCTCCTCATTGGACAAAAGGAAATCCGCTCTGACAGTTAGCTTGTATCCTACGATTTCCAGCGTGTCTAGGATCGAGATGTTAGTGAAGAGGAAGATGATATCGATAATCACATGACGCAGAAAGAAACGGTGTGATTATAATTATTGTTGAGAATGCTTCTCGCTTGGGAATCTTGCAGTGACAGCAGAAGTGCTGGCGGACAATACAATACATAAAACACCACACTGAGTCAGAACTGACTAAGAAAAGTTTATGACTATATGACTTTTGAGGCACCAGCAAACTTTGCTCAATATTAAGTTAGAGTACCATTTGTAACGATCGGAAAATATAAATCTAGGTTACTCGACTTCTTATGCTCTGTCAACCTAAGATGAAAAACCAAAGAACAGTGCTTGAATCTCTATCGATCAGCATTTCGCAAACACAAGCTCGAACCAACAACGGAGCCGAAAACTAAAGTCTAAAATCTGTGGCTTTACAAATTACCTAAAACAGCACTCGAACATTATGATCTTAAAGGAGGCATCGATTTCCTGTCCCCAATAAACTGACTAACTGAAATTTGCTTACGGTTTCCTGTGGCACCAACGTCACTGTTCGTCCGGGCTAAAAATTTGGATGTGTATTGAAAAATAAAAGAGAAAGTAACATAAAACTTTTACCTTTTCAGGTGTACCGCGGTGATCAGGACTCGCCTGCCAAAATCTGCGTACGTATCCTCGGACGAAACCAGGAACCGACTGAATGTACGGGAAATTCGTGTACCACAAAAGGGAACCGTAGCCGAATATCCACATGTTCGCATATCCAACAACTGGAAACGAGAATCTCTTAGCTTTGATGACGGACAATGACTCTTTTGCTGAAATTAATACCTCAGTATAAAAAAGCAACACTTAACACATTATTAAAATTAAATTAATTAAAACCTAAAACAGTCGCGTGCGGTGTAAATAATCTTAAGAATTCAAGACAATCAAACAACCAACGACTTGTATTACGCTAAATTTCATGGCCTACTGCACCGCTTCCTTGCCTTTAGTTGCCAGGAGGGGCGGTTGCTACGGGGGCCATTTAGCAAACCACAGCTTCATGCTATTTGAGCACCTGATGCGACGTGCATCTCGCACTAGTCTGTACGTCAGAGTCACAGCGTGGTCATCGTGAAGTATTTTTCAAGAGCTGGAAGTCCTGACATGCTATCGCATAAACTCCTAAGTTGTTTGTACGTCGGAGTAAGTCAACTGCCGAGTGACACCTCAGAGACCAGATTTTACGGCGTAATGTACTGCACCTTGCTCCTAGATGCCTGGGGAGATGGTGGCTATGGGGATGATTAGGAAGGAAAAGAAAGTTTATGGCTATTGGAATGTCGGCATCCCTTAGCGTTCAGGAATGGGCCATTATGGCGCCCTTTATCATTAAGTTCAAGGTGCGTTTCTGATTTCCGCACCTATGGCATCAGTCAGGAGTGTCATATTTTACGGAAAAATCTACAGCCATATAGCAAGCGCAACGTGGAGTCACCTTTTCCTTCCCACACAGTGGAACTCATTTATCAATTGGTTGTCAAAGAGAAAAAAGCAGCATTCAAAGGATGGCTTGAAAGCAAAGAGCATTCACCTAGAATGCAGACGAAGAAGCACACAAGGCGGTGGCAAAAGCCAATGCTGATTCCTGTGAGAAATTCTGTGAGGTGCTGGAGTCGAATTTCCACACGGCAAACAAAGTATTCTGGCAGACCATCCGCCGGCTCTGAGGTGAAAAGAAGGGCAGTATCAGTCTTGAAGGAGGGGTCTGGACACCCTCTTACAAAGGGCGATGACATTCTTAGGCGATGGAGACAGTTCACTGAGGAACTAATTAACACGAGCAACCACAGGAAGACTTGCCTGTAGAGCAGCAGGGAATGGATGTTACTATGTCTGTAGACAAAAGTACGCAAGCCATAAAAAGCTTCAAAA